CAGAGAATCTCACCTGGCCTTTGGAGTGGGGGCAGAGGGGAGCAAACCTTCCTGCCCCAGCTATGGAGAGACAGCCTTCCTCTGTAACCCACTCTCATTCACAGACATCATTCATGTGCAAATCATCCTTGGACCTATTGTTCACCCGCTGCGCTCTCAGATACTTGCTGAATCAAGTGATAAATGTAATGGCAGTGCTGGAGATATGTTCCATATTGTGAAAAGGAATAGAGAGACTTATCAGAGCACTTACATTGGTTCAAAGGGGTAAAACTAACTTTATACAACTAGCTGGAGCATCAGACAACTTCAGCTTCTGAATGACAATACTTTTCTTTTTCTGGTGTTGATGCGACACGATACTCTTTCCGTATTTAATTTTTTTTAGCAGGCGTGTTAAAATCAAATGCGATTGTAGTTTTGTTGCTGAAAGGTTAAAAAAAAAAAAGCTGTTTTTGTACATAGTTAGCCTTCTGCACAAAAGTTGGTTCAACACTTTTATTCAATTACGGGTATAGAGCAACGACAAAACCCAACAAATTACAGAAAACACAAAGGAGTTCCAGAGGTTTTAAAGCCCAATAACTTGCCGTACAAAGGTGATGAAATACCTTTTTAAGTATGATACACTAAAGTAATATGAAGCTGAAGACCAGCCGACCTGCTGAGGACATAAGACAAAACACTTGTTGTTAATACGTGACCATTTAAATGTCCCATACATAGTAAGAAAGGTGCAGTAAAAATATATTTTTAGCTGTAGTATTCTTTTAAAAACAGTCTTAAGCCTCGCCAGTGATGCTAATTACAACAGAATAGACTTATTCATAGAAGATATTTTGACATGTCAAAGGAGGAAAAGCACAAGTGTAAATAATGTCTTTAAAGATGGCTGAATTCCATTTAGCGGCTTCAATTTCAAGGTCCGAGACCTTGTGAAATCATTCCTTCATTTATTACTCTATATTTTTGAGACGTTGAGTTCACTATGTTGTTAGCAGAAAGCAGTTTATATTTTACTTTTTTTTTGTTGCTTCATTCTGGAAATATGTGAGTATTAGAAATCAGATTTTTAAATAAAGTGGGATTTATTAATTTTTTTATTATTGTGGGACTGCGGTATAGATCTTCTTTTTCACAGCAGACATTTTGGAAAAGTCATAGCGGGAAAAAGGTGAAGCTTGACAACTTTCAACAACTGCATTTTATTTAGTTGAGGCAGTTCCAGGGTGCTTGTCCCAGGTTACTGCGATGACAATGAGTAAACACTGTTTGTTTCATCTGTGGTTTTCCTACTATAACAAATCAAACTGTCCAAGATGAAAGAAATTAATTAATTCACACTGTCAGACATAATGAGATGTTGAACTGACTTATCGTTACCGTTGAGTAACACCTGAGCTCCTCCTACTGCGGATGTGTCACCATCTCATTGTCAAGCCAATCTGAAGCAAACTTTGAACTGTTGCAAAAATTTAAAAGAAAAAAAAGAAAAAGGAAATCATGAATTAGGCTTATTTCCATGAACTGGCTTGGAGTAAGAAACTAGAAAGTGTAGTTTTGTCTTATTAACAGAAGCCAGACACAAAAAGAGACCCAAAGAAAAACAAGAAACAAACAAAACTTTGGCTATTTATGAGAGAAATTGGATAAAAGCTTTCAGGAATTATCTTTAATTGAGAGGCACCTGGTATTGGACATTTTTTATGCTGTCTGCAGGCAGAGACAACTAAAGAAGCAGAAATAGTAGTTCAGTTACATAAGTTACATGTTTGGTACGTCAGAACTTATTTAGAGAAGGTGTCTCCACCTCTTCACATTAAGTCTGTATGGAAAAAAGTCTTCTCAGGAGAGCATAACAACTGTTTTCAAATAAAAAGTGACCATTTCCAATAACTTTTTCTGATTCAACATTTTAAAATGCATGTATAAATACATTAGGGAAGCATGGACATTAATTCTTGGTACAGTGGCCACTGTAGGGAATCACAGACATACAGCCGGTCAGGTTACTTAATACAGAGTATGGGATTGACCCTATTTGGGACTTCTGGTTTAAGTGACAGGTATTGTTTTTTTACTTTGAAGATTTTGTTTTAAATATAGAAAGAGGGACATTTGTCATAAATTTGGAACCAAAAATACGTCAACTTATCAGAAAATTTATTTAACATAGTGTAAAAGTCTATACTGAGTGAGGATTAAGCGTTGGGCATCCAATGGACCCCCAAAGACCTTCTACGTATGGCAACATGGAAATCCTGAATAGGGTTAAGTGGAAACTTCATTTAAAAGTCAAAGGTTTTTCCTCTGCAGACAATGAATGTGTGCATCCAATGCCAGTCCACCCAAGAGTTAGTGATCAAAGCTCTGGATGAGTAGAACCCCCAACCAGATTGTCGTCCCTACACCAATAACACTACTACAGCCCAAAATCAGTGGTGGTTCATTATATAGTGCCCATGCAGGTTCTACTACTATATTTAAATTATAGCAGCACTATAGCTGTGGATTCATATCATTTGATTTCCAGACTGATTTCCTGACCATGCAACCAAACAAACGGGGTGTTGCCGCAGATAAACTGTTGAATTCAAGATGCAGCAGCGGAGCATGAAACATAAAACAAAGGCCTTGGAGACATTGCTCGATTAGGCTTCGCAAACAGAATAAACAGTTTTTGTTTTAACATTCAAGGACAAAATCACTAATCCTGGCCAAAGTAAACATTTTACCAAAACGGTTGATCAGTAGAAAAAGATTGTTTAACTCTATATAATAGTGCCTGATCTCTTTGAAAAAGCCCAAGCTTGTGTAATCAAAAGCAAAGCCTTTTGTCTCTTTAACACACATACCAAAGAAGCTGCCGAAGAGGCCACATCAGAATGAATGAATATTTAATTGAGGCCTATTGAGGCAGAAGATCAAAATGACCTTGCTTTAAATGATTATTCACTGATAAAAATAAAAGTAGGGTAGGGTAGAATGGAAGCCGCACACTTGAGAGCCTCGGTTTGTCCAGCGAGCAGAAAATATATTACACAAACATATGAGAAGCAAAACCACAGCATTGTTGATGCACAATAATAAATAATAAAAAAAAAACATAATAGTCATTTTACAAGCACATAAAGGCAGAGAAGATTGACACAGTGTTCCAGCATTGTTACCAATGTACTCTCATTCTTTCTATATGGTGCTGTTATGGTGGGAGAAATCCGCTCTTCCTCCCGGTCTTGGATCGACAATTTAAACATGACACCTAAATCCGACACACCAATGGGAACGGGTGACCCCTTGTTATTGGAAGCTGTCTGGACAAAAAAGCAGGTCAGTCTGGCTTGTGTGGGTGCAAGACCTTCCTCTCAGTTTTCCAGACACTCAATCTGGTGAGGATGTTTATTCACGTGAATGGCTTTAAACTTAAAGAGGAACAGGCGTCCATACTCGAAAACCAGCTGTTGTGGCGCCTTCACATTCTCAAGCACAGCGTTATTTTGTATATTATGTGACCTTGTTTAAATCTTTGTTCCGGGATTCGCTGCCCTGTTTTGTACAACACAAAAACGACAACAACAAAAAAAAGGAAGTGGCCTCACTCAGACGGCACATCTACAACATATCGCATCTGCTGCATCTGATCCGACGTCCTCACGGGTTTTGCCGCGAAATTTAAGAAGCTGCTTTTAAAAAAAGACTCACCAAACTTGTTTTCCGCCACAAATCGTTTCAGCTCTCAGCACACTTGCCGTTTTGCAACAATCGCGCACGAGAATCCAGAGCACAAGAGACGGTTGCTCCGCCAATGGCGCGCCATAATGCAGCCACAAGAAAATGTTGTGCTGCGAATAATGGACTCGAGTACAATCACAAGACTGAGCATGACTGTATACCTCAATGTTTTCTCTCTTTGTGCGCTATTTTGTGTGAGAAGGCTGAACACGTCGGAGGTGAAATGCTATTACTCAGTTTTCTAATTGCTCTCTGGCAGTTGGCTTGAGATCTGTTGTGTTGTTACAAAAAAAAAACGCCGCTGTGTTGTCGAACACAACCAGCAGGTTTGTTTCTGTAGACATTTTGTTTGTGCATATAACAAATCTGCATCATGTCAGACCTTGACCTCTGTTACATGGTGGGCACGGAGCGTAAGGACTGAGTCGTGGCATTCAGTGAAAACATAGTGTATTCACTCAGTAGATGGTGGTTGTGTAGGTTATTGTTGTACACACTCATTTTGCTCAACTGTGTTTTCAATTGAAGGCTGAATGATTTACAGAACATTATGCTAGGCATAACATTAAAAGTTAAGAAATATTTCTTTGGCAGCGAGCTACAACTGATCTATAGCATCATTCTAAGTTGGTACCAAATCGATTTTCTCGCCACAACAATTTAAAAAAGAAAAAAAAGCTCAAGGAAAAGGTGAATTTAAACATTCTGTACGTCCAGCATTGATTGTCACGGATGTTCCGCTTAGGTTTCCTCGCAATGACAATTGTGCTTTTTTTATTTTCGACTGAAAAGGAAATGTGCTGGCGGTGAAGCATTCTCTCTGCCCTGTTTTACATCGAGCTGGAGGGAGTAATTTGATTGTTATACTTCGGCTGACTTGCTATTATTGTGATCAAGGACGACCGAGTCTACATTTGACACCTTTATGTTTGATATAGAGACAAAACCTTGAGTTTCTCGTTTTGTAGAAGCCACGAAGAAACTGTACAGAGCCCACACCCGCCTATATGTTTTTAATCAATTCCAATGTCAGGGCGTGTTTGTTATGCAGCATGAGAGGTGATGAATACTTTACGCATTAGTTTTAATGGGAATACTCCAAGACGATCGCAAAAACAAGGGCAGGACTGAGTTTGCTTAGACTCACTGTGTAATCTATCTATCTATCTATCTGTCTATCTATCTATCTATCCATCCATCCATCTATCTATCCATCCATCTATCCATCTATCTATCTATCTATCTATCAAATTACAAGTCTTGTAGCCTTTTTCATTAAAAAAATATTTATTTTTTTTATTGCTTCTACATCCTTGAGACAATCCGTAGCAAGAGAAATGTCAATATATTCAATTCAAATACCCCCCAGGGGCAATTTAAAAGCTCACTAAGTATTTAATATGAAGACAAAATAAAACAAAACACAAAACCACATCATAAATATCACATTATATTACATGGGATACATTTTGGAGAGTCAGAGGACACGAGTTCCAACCTGTTAAGCACAGTCCTGATGTGGTCTGAAGCACATAAACATGGATCACCTTCACAAAACCACTACTGCATCAGGGGGAACACTGTCCAACGTCAGCCTGACTATGACAAGATCAAGAGACGCACACACACAACAGTCGAGTAAATCAAGACGTGAATAACGTCTCGCAATTGCAAGATTAAACCCTTCGTGTCCTCGCTTAACAGTGCGACTACACACAATCTAAAAAGAATGAGCTGAATATCATCACCATTGTCTCTCTGGCACAGACTCAGAGAAGTTCTTTAAAAAAAAAAAAAAAAAATGTTATTGTGTTAGTACACATTAGTACAATATAACTCCACTTCCACCGTGAGCTATCTGTCGCACACAAGTATCTGTTGACATGCTCCTTAACATGGATATTATGTTAGGGAGCCTTTTAGCAAACTCCAAATTATTCTGCCACAGTCCCTTTTCTGTGGTGGGTCAGGGCTGTCTGAAGCCATTATTGGTAATGAATGTGGAGTCCTACTTTAAAAGGTTCAGGCATGTAAAGTCACCTAAAGCTGACTAATGGAATCCTGCTGACACTAAATGCCAGGGGCTTTTACCACATCCCAGAATGGCAGTTTTGGAAATTTACACTACAGACATAATGAACTATAAATGTAAACCTTGGAATGTAGCCTCCCACACAGTAGCTGCGAGTTATTAATAGACAGAAGAACAGCCAATATGCTGGGAAAAAAAAATCACAAATTGCAGAGAGGACTCCATTGTGTGGTTTCTGTATCAATTCTACTTGTGACTCATTTGCACAATGGCACAGAGGAACGTAAACACAAGTCTTTGTATTTCTGAGGCGCGATTATTAAGGAAGCAGCTGTAAAAATATGCGCGGAGCATTTGTTGGGAGGCTCTAAATATTCTGAGTTTGTTAGCGCTGCAACACTTTGTGCCCTGGGAGATGGGCCTCTTCAGCAGGTTCACAGGTCGCGCAGAAGCGTGCAGAGTGGCCATTGTGCTTTGTCATTTCACAGGTGACTCACATCACTACACTCGAGCATGCTGGAGGTAGAGCACTTGGAGATGCTTGCGGCATTCAAAATGCATGATTTTCAGCCTAGTGCAAACAAATCGCTTTAAAAGATCAGTTTAATCTATTTCGAGCTGTTATTATGAGCTGGGAGAGTTGTTCAGATAAAGAGACTGAAGCAGGGTTAACATCAGTGTGTTGGACAACTCTTCACATACTTTACCCAGCGTGAGAGCTGTCAACTTTATTATTTGTTTTTACGATACAGTGTGCATATGATTTACAATGCAGACCACTAAAATAATGGTCAGGGGTGAATTACCGCGAGTCAAACTGCCTCCGATTTTGCAGTGATATAATGTAGTGCGTTTCAAAAAATATCTCAGTGGAAATATCAGTCATAGAAGTCATCGGTGTCTTCGCCGTTTGTATGGAAAGGTTGAGGACGTAAGGCTGCTTCAATGTCTGAGTTGCTGTCATCCGATTCCTCCCAGAAAGCTATACAAAAAGGTGGAGAGAACAAAACCGAATATTTCATTATTACAGCAGAATGTTCACTCCATGCTTCAAATGGAGTGTTGCCTCGTACATCTTCAGCATAATTTCTTTATTCAGCCACATCTACCCTCTCCTTATACGCATTCCAGGAAGTGAATACACAGAGGCTAAAGCGTACACAATGAAATGAAAGACGACAATGACAATCTTAACATTCTAACTTTTACATAGTTGAATATGTGTTAAATGCGGGTCTTCTGCACTCAAAGCAACAGAATACATCTTTAGGGATCCCATCACAGCTCTAAAAACTCTCACAAAAGTCATAACCTTCGTGTGGCTTGCTTTGCAAATTACAATCAACAATCTTCTTTTACATCAATTAATAAAACATCTTACATCTCCTTAGGTTTTGTTTACAGTTTGATAAGACATGTAAAGACAGCGTGTTTCATTTAGATAGGACAGGTTTAGTTGTTTATTTGTGGAGTGGTTGGTGCTTGCTTCAAACGAAGCTTTCAGTAACCTGGACTTGGCTTCAAGGTCATTTTTTCCATTTACACATCCTCAAAAGGCACAGCTGCATTTACAGAGAAATTTAATCAAACTGTTGGTATTTTTATGCAGCTTAAATTTTTTTTACCAAAACTTCATGCGTGTTAACACACAGAGGGCTTTATAGTGATCTGTTTGGTGTAATTAACCTATTTTGACACTGTGTCTTTGCACCCAATTGAAATTACTTTGTCGATACTCACCTTTTGACTGCAGAGCAGAATGGAGCTTTGATTTAGTCGTCTCTCTCCTGGAAACACAAAGACAGTTAATAGCCTTGTAAAGTTATTACCTTAGGCCTTTCGTTGAGAAAGGACTACTAGTTTTTTCTTTTCTTTTTTTTTTTGCACTAGAAACAGCTAAAAAGGGAAATGGCAGATTATGATTTCACGAAAATATAAATCCACGTACTGAAAAAAAAATATGTAGAATTCATTCACTGTAACCTGCTTATGCACTAATAACCAAAATACTACAACTGAGAATCTTAGACAATAAAAACAACAACAAAAAACATCTATCCATTATGCACGATGGACTGATGTGAAGACACCAGTTTCAATCCGGAGACTTACTGCGTACACTCCGACAGTGCAGCACAGGGAACTTCCTTGACTCCCGTTCTAATTGTGCCAAAGGACTTCCACAAGTCCCTCTTTATTCAAAAATAGTCCAAAGACAGGGTTGCCAGGTTCCCATAGCTCTGGTGATATCGCTATGTAAATGTGTGACCTCCGAAAAGGCTTTGATCTACCTCAATGCATATGCAATAAGGCCCCCCGTTCCACTTTTAAAGGCCTCCTCTTTAATTTACATCATCACAGAGCCTATTCAAAACCCCACAATATATCCTCATCATCTCCCAGGTTAGCATACATATCCATATGGCTTATTTGTTTTTGGACCGTCTATGTCGGAGCTGTTTTTGACGCTTTTCTTGAAAACAGTGAGAAATGAGTTTTAAGCAGATACGTGCCAGCGAAAAGCAGTCATGTGGCGTGTTCTTCCATCTGCATCAATTCAAACCCATGACCTCTTTGATTGTCACCCTCTCAATCACCCTCATCTCCTCATCTCTCCCTCAGCTAAATCTTGGCACATGTGACTGTACATTGAGCGTAAGGAGCAAATTACTCTGGCTGCGTTCCAGTTGCTATCTTCTAAACTATATATTGCTGCTTTTGCACCACTTAAGACAGAATGAGCGAGAGAGAGAGAGAAAAAAAAAAGACGCCCCTCCCATTCCAAACTGTGAGCAGATTGCTTTGCGCTATAAGCAATATTGCATAGAGCCGGTGTAATCATTAGAACATAACCTTTACATTCATATGCTGATAGGACATCCTGCAGGACATTTGGATGAATCTGTTCAGACGGCATACTGAACCCCGGGCACTTAAAATGCAAGAAAATCAAAGCAGGGGGGATAAGTAAGAAAAGCAGCAGCAAAAAAAAAGAAAAGAAAAGACAGCAAAGACACAAGAGCACATAGTCAGCCGGCTTACAAACTGAAGGTGCTCTACATAGGAGGGTGTTTAGTTGAAATAGAGGGTGTATTTATGTAAACATTTTGGTGAATGGCGGGCAGTGCAGATGGTAAATATCTTCCTGTGTAGCCTATTTTAAGTCTGATTAAAGAGTAGGTGCTGTTTTTAGTTTGTGCCCAAGCTTGTCATGTTTGGCAGCAGCAAATGGGAGCTTGTTTTACTAGGAGACTGTCAAATGGTTATACACAAATCATTTAGATTAAAGGATATAATATCATAACTATATGCTAGTTTTTGTTATTGTACCACTGGTAAGGGTGTTTTAATACACACACAGCATGTAAACATTTATTCTTACATAGTGAATGAACATAAAAACCTTGGGTTTGTTCATTTCCTGTCTGAGTTACAACACTAAAGTCAAGATACGTTGACCAGCTCTGGTACAGGCTAATGGTGGGCACAAGGGGGAATAAATACATATCTACATTAATTTAAAGAATGCAAATCCACCTGCTTTCCACATCTTTTTTTTTTTTTTTTAAACCGAATAAAAGATAAAGCACAAACATTAAAGCACAACTAAACCACAGGGACTAGTGCATCCATTTACCAACTGATCTCAACCACACCCTGCAGCAGCAAAAATACAGCAATAATCTATACGATTACTTCCTCTCCTTTGCCACAATAATAGCTGTTACGGAGAGTAAATTGGGCTTTTCTTTTCTCGAACTTCCCCCCGGGATGGGAATGGTCTATCAGCTGTTCCACTTCAGCGAGGGACAGGACTGATTTCAAGACAAGGCTATTACCATAGAGAGCCCAGCCTGGATCTGACCCCACCAATCTAATATTCCGTTTCCATAAACATTTATGCCAGTTCATCTTCTGCTGAGTTTCCCTTAATTGAGGCAATGATCTGAATATGTAAGACTGGGCTGGCCAGTGTTTTACAAGCTCTGGTAGACAGAGGTGAATGTAATGTGTAAAATGATGCAAATTACAGCTATTGTAATGTCCTTTTTTCAGTGCCTCGCTCATTCGCTTTCACTGGCCTTTGCAATTGTTTCATATTGTTGTTTATCTAATGTTTTTTAACAGTTTCTGCGTCTGCGTAGCCGAGTTCACAATTACCTTTAAAATTGTATGGGGCTTTATACGCATTACGCGGAGGTTGACAGAAAATATTGGCATTTCTAGAGCCGTCTGTATCTGTTTATTTCTTTGATGAAACCTTTCTCTTGTTTTGTCAACAACGGTTTTCTATGGACTCCAGCTCAAGGTCCTAAATTGTTGCATGATTTCAGTCGGATTGTAAAAACACACATTGTAAAGGTCGGTAATGCGGCGATATGCAATGTCGAAATGGCAATGAAATGAATAAAAACAAGGTATATCATGGTATTTTATATGCAGAAACTGGTACCATTTCTGTGCAGTGGTGAAAAATGGACATGCTTCTGGAAGATTAATGACCCACTCATGGGAGTTCAAGGCACCGTGTGGAAGTTAAAAGTCGTTTTGAAACTACTCTCGACATTTTTTGCTTTGTTGGGCTCTGCTTTGCTCAGTGCTCTGCTGCATCACTGGGTATTTCCTTGCGAAACAAACAAACTACTACCGCGAATCTCTGACAACTTACGACACAGGTGCGCTAAATTGCTGTATTCGCTCTGTTCAGCTGAAATGTGCTCTGTAAAACATTTTCACGTACTGCAGTTAAAGGAGCTCGCGAATGAATACGTACACAAAGGTTGCAGTCTCACATCTGACCCGAGTTTATTTCAGCGTGCACTTAATAAGAATATAACCAGTGTTCTAATTATGCACCAACAAAACATTTCCACTAGCACAAGGACAAAAGCATCTTCATACCGAACGTACTGTCCTCTCAAACTGCAGTTTAAGGTGATTGCAATGTAAGACTAGGTCAAGCTCCTTGGAATTACTGAAGATGTATTTCATTTATAAACCTGTAGTCGCATTAGAGAATACGACGACTGTCAGAGGAAATAATGCTTACCAAGCATTTAATACTGCCTTGCCGATAGCTAGAAAACTGCTTTTATTTACCCTGGCTTTTTTTTTTTTTTTAAGCTCCCGCCACCCACACACAAATGCTAATAGCACAATAGCACTTTTGCGCGGCTGTGCTTGTCTAAAGGTAAAGGGAGACCCATCACCTCATCATTCCCATCAACTCCTACTCCCATCCCAGCTATGACCCCGCAGAAACATTGTTTAGGCTCCGTTTAGATGTACTCTAACAGGCCTGAATGGTAGCAGGATATAGCCCTCAGTGGGGGCAAACAGTGAGAGGCAACTGTGAGTGCACTGTGAGTGGGCGCTCTCTAACATGTGAGTGCTCTCTGCTGGCAATGAGTAAGTACTGCAACTCAGAGGAAGAGGTACTGGGCCAATGAATTCAACGCAGCACGCTCTCCTCCTGACTGGTGGCAGTCTAGTGGAGACAGCCAGCATGAGGGAAGGTTGAAGGACAGAAATTCATCTCATGTTGCATTTATTTGTTGAAGTGTATTTAAAGAATGTGGGGGGGAGAAAAAAAAACACTATGAATGTGAAGTTAAAATATAAACCAGCAAGAAACTGGAGCCCAATAAACTAACCCAGATTTTAAAACACAATAGTTAACCCATATTTAGGCTTGTTTTCGCCCCTCAATCAGCCTCTAAACACATTTATATGCGAGACGTTAGCACAGTTTGGCTTAATTGACGATGCACTGATTTGTAAGACAACATTAAAATTAACAACAATAAATCATAGAAAGTGTCTGAAAGCCAAATTAATTTTTCACAGGCCAATCAGGCAGGTCATTATTTGTTTCAAACAACCAGTGTAGGACAGTGACCTCCTCTGGTTGGAGTCTCTCAATGCTACCGTCATCGATAGTCAATTGTTTGTTATCGCAACATTTGAATCTCTTACTTGAGCTGAAGATGAAGTCGGAACTCAAATAACACAAAGTTAGACGTTTGTTAAATGTTTAAAAAAATGGAAAACAGCATAACACAAAAGTGCTGGCTGCTTTTAAGAGGATATACAGACTCAAACAAATAATCAGGTACATATTCAAGTACGTGTTAAATGCTCCTGATGTGCATCTCCTGCCGTAGAGCATCACATGGCACTGCAGCTAATATATCATCAGTAACTGTTTACATGTGTTCCTTAACTCGCGGTGGGATTTTAAAACAGCAATTTTTAACCTTTCAATACTGCTTTGTCTGTTACTGCCTCTCTGTCTCCCTCTATCTCCTGCTCTCTCTTTTTGTCCCCTCCCCTCCACTCCTCTCTCTCAGCTCATGTCCCTCTCACCCCTCCATCTCTCCTCCCAGTGAGTCGTCAGACTCGCACACATAGCCTCCCCACGAGGGGGAGGGAGGGAGAAAGAGAGAGAAGAGAGAGAGAGAGAGAGAGAGAGGGAAGGAGAGGGAGAGAGCGCTTCTGATTTTGACACTCTGAGTGATTTGAGGTCGAATGCTTGAGCACATCCTGTTGTCCAAAGCAAAGCTGTAAACCACTAATTGTTGAGTCAAGGTTTTTGTCAAGCAGGCACTAGGCACAACAATCATCACACCGTCTGACGGCTCCAGGATTTCGCTTTGTGTGTCTGTGCACATGTGTTCAAGCATTTTTTTTTTTTAGGATGAAAAACAGGGGAGGGAGAATAAAATGGTATTAAAAAATCCAAAATAAAAATAAGAAAGGAGTGGCATCTGAAATGCCTACAGTAGAAAGGAGCACAATGATTCTTTGCACGAGAGGAAGCAGTGGCATGCACTCGCGTACAAAGGGGAACAAGTGGTCTTTACATGGAGTGCAGCTGCTTATTAAGACTCACTCCTTCGTGCATTATTCCTTTCATCCCCACTCAACCACAAAGTGATTTTACTTTGCCACTCACAAAGACAGCAAAAGATTTCTAATGAACAAATCCTTAATAAATGTTGCAGATCAGTCGCTTCCCCGCGAGTTATAATACAATAAACAGAACATTCCATAAAAGTATCTCGCTGAAAAACACTGTGTGGGAGAGAGCAAGGAAGAGAGAGAGGGAGAGAAAAAAGAATATGAAAGACCCCAATTCTCTCAAACTCCATAATAGTGAAATGAGCACATATAAATGTGTTAAGAGTATCTCTTTGCATCTTGTATAGACTGCATGTATTTAATCTGTAAAGCTTATTAAGGCCCTAGTCATTGCTATGCAAAGCAGCACCCAGTGCTTTTCTCTCGCTTTTCAGCCGAGTGCAGTGTTTGGCCAATAGGACTGGCCCCCCGCCTCTCATTCTGCATTCATAACATGCAACATTTGCACAATGTATCTCTCAAAGGCCCTGAATAGAAGGCCTTAATACTCATGTAAACAACTGCAAACCAATTACTTAATGAATCGGGCCCACACATAATGAGGAGCCTCACAAAGGGCTATAAATGCATTTTTTGCACCAAAGCCTCTGCTTTAAACTACAATCCCTCTGCTGTAGTCTAGGCTTAACTGGCAAATCATAATTATTGTCTAAGACAACAGAGAGGAAGCCATTTTTGTATTTTGAGTCCAGCTCCATCCTCCTTTTGAAGTCACTCATCAGCTCGCTGACAAAATAAAGCAAATAATTAACAAGTAGGATGGAGAGGGGGGAGAAGAAAATACAGGAAGACAGAGAGGAAGAGGGGCAAAGAGATGGAGAAAGGGCAAGAGAGCGAGAGAGAGTGAGACGCAGAGAGAAGAGAAAGGAGAGAAACAGGGCAAGAGCATGCTGCAGTGTTATGCTTCTGCTTAAGTGCAGGGCTTCCAGACCACTTGTGGAAGCAATAAAGCGCAAGAAGTGACTGTGGTAAGTGGAATGCTTAAATCTAAGCGTCGAGGAGAAACGGAGAAAAGACAGGGGAAATTGTTGTATGACCAAAGAGAAGATGATGATGGTGACTAGCAGCTCTTTGTGCTGCTTCCTTCCTAACTCTAGTAAGATTACAGTGTCAGGAATGCATTTCTGCACACTTTACCAATCGTATTTACGTATTCAACTTGTGTCTCATCACCGCTCGCAGCATTCTCTGTTTCTGTCTAATTTTTTTGTGCAAATTTTGTTTAATCACATATATTCCAGGCTTCCCATGCACATCAATGACAGGGAGACAGGCACCATCTGAGAGGGTCTGGGCCCAAAATTGGCTCATGTATATTAAAGAGGTTGGTCACTGGGGCTGGCAGTAGCAGACATCAGCAGCTATGAGGACCACAATAGAGCCAGGCCATTAGGCCCTTCCCTGGGCTAATAGGCAGACTGGGAGCGCCTGCTTGCCAGGCCAGGGAGATATAGACTTCAGCCCTTGTGTCAGCGTGGTGCCCGGTAATCACATGAAATCAGAGAAGATTATTCCTCATAACGTTTACCCAGCCATTACTACAGCCCAAATGGGTTCGCAGTGAAGAGGTGCTCTGAGGACCTGACATGCAATTGCAGATTTGATGAAGTCGTGTTGATATTCAAATGTAACAGTGATGGTGTTAGCTTCCACCAAGCTATTTATCATTAGATGTTCTTTTCCCACCCACTTAGAGCTCTGATTTGAGCAGCCTAAATATGTTTCAAGGGTGAAAAATGAAAGGACATTTGTCCTTGTCAACACTTGAGTCCCCTTCTTCCAAAACAGTTGTCCCTGATTCTCTTCTTGACATGATCTGTTTGCATTCTGGCAACAAGCCTGAAGACAGTGAGATTATGGCTCCAATTTATTTTTGTGGTAGTTGATTTGCTTTTGAATTCTAAAACCTGGTTGAACCCAGCAAACAGTGAGTGAGAGGGGCTTTAGGGGCCTTTTGTCTTTGTAAGCGAGTTAATGGGTGGCGCCCCCTTGATCTTATGGAAATGAACAGGGAATTATGAGAGCAGCCATGCAAATGTACATCAACCACTTTGGTGTCTGGTGGCCCATTTCCTGTGGCCCGTTGAATAATAACAATGTTCTTACCGAGGGTAAGGGTCTTGATGTGAGGAGCGTTTGGCCCTCCCCAGGTCCTCTTCATGGCCATGATTTATTCCTTAAAAGAGCAAACAGAACCAGATAAAACCATTTGATTTCTTGATTGATCTCATCACAAGCAAACTTGCCATGTATATTTATTTAGAAACTTATGATGAAGCTCATGAGAAATTTTGGGAGAGCTTCTCCACTGTGGCATTGGGGCCTCTTGACACACAGTCATGGGAATGGAGTAATATTTATATTAGACATAATATTTTTTATACAATCCACTTTCAAATCTATTCATGTATCGAGAATATGCCACACCCAAAACCATATGATTGCAGAGATTTTTTTTGCCGTTAACAATGAGGTTGCTTTTGTTTTGTGCTTTTACTTTCATTTTGCGTATACAACAAATATGGTTTGTCTATGATGTCCTTGTGTTGTGTTGTGAAGACACATGGCCACAGGTAACTAATGATTAAGCTCCAGTTGCTCACTATGTGGCTGGTGGAGTGGACCACATCTCTTACCTGAGAGGCCATCCTCCTCCTCCTCCTCCTCCTCCTCTTCAGAACTCTGTAGCCTTTGCTGCATGGCTGATTGTTTAAGTAACTGATATGCTTTTGTCTCTATTCAGGGATACACACACACAAACATACACACAGACACACACAAAGTCACTGTCAAATATTTGCTTAGAACCCAGGTTTCCAACTTTCAGAGGTTTCTGTGTTTGATGAGACAACACGCTTCAGTAGCTGAGTTTTTTGGTGTAGGTGACGAACAGAGTGAGTGAAAACACCGCACTCAATCAGCTAAGCTGTTGATTCAAGCCTACAGTATGTAGCAACAGTTTCCATGAGAAAGCAATCAGCATCTCACATTATCTCAGCATTCCCTACCAGGTAGACAATGATTGATTTTCTGTTTTTTTTTTTCCTCCCCTAAATATATATCTATAAAAAACAACAACAACAAAAACCCACTTGTAATTACTTTCCGGCACACTAAAATAGGTATCATATTTGAATGGAGCACTGAGACTGCGCTGGCAAAAATCAATGGAGCAGAAGTACATAATAAATGGGGTGTTGTTTCAATGATGCAGTAAAAAGCACACGTAACGGATCAAGGGACAGAGCAAAATTGTGACCAAGTCCTACCATTTTTAACTTGATTTCTGAATAAAAAAATGCTGCTTTTAATTATTAAAAAAAAAAAAAAAAACATAAATTGTTTATGGTGCACAGCAATCCCTACGGATATTCCACCCACAGCACTTTATACAGCTACAGCTTTTACATGTAGTCTAAAAAAAAAAAAAAAACACACAAAGTCTACAGACGTGCATGTCTTGGCAATTACTATCAGTTCCAAGGTCATGGTATTTGATTGTAACATTGATGTCGCTCAGCACAGCAAAACCCTTTCCTTGCAAAATCTTTAGTCATGTTTTTTTTAGCTGGTTATGGCTCTTTTGATTAAGTGTAGCGATTGGAAACTGGACTCATTTTGCTGGCTGTGCACCTTAGGGATGCGGACACATGAAACACCCAGTAGGAAATCTGATAGCCAAGGGTAATATAGGATTGCTTTACATTTCAGAGGTGAAGCTGAGGGATGGGCATACCAACTGCTTCCAGGATGCCGTCACATCTAGTATTTTTCAAGTCCAGCCTTGCCGGAGCATTGTTTAGAAGATAATGAGAACCGATGACAGATCTTTTGCGCTTCCCACCCTGGCGCCCTGACAATTAAAGTAGCCGCATTATGCTGGGGCAGCGAATTATCAATTTTGCTAGAATGCCTCAGACCAGGCTGAAAACACAGCTAGTGTTTTCTCGGAGATAATTAGAGAGAACTAGCACAGCTCTTCAGGTGGGACTTTGACCCTGGATTCACCTTGATCATCCTGCCTCAGCCATTGTGTAAAAGAGCCCATTATTCACTGCAGTGGGAAGAAAACAAACCACAACATAAGGACAGTGTGAATGCTGGGGCACCGGCAATGCCTTTTTACCTCTAATAGGACCACTTTCCACAGGGCTTTCGTCCTGGCTGTCCTCTTCAGTACTTTGTAGTTCTGTAAGAAAGGGAAGCGCATAGTGAGAAGCAATGGCAGGGAGGAAGGGAGTCCAGGGATAGAAATGGGAATGGGGGGTCTTTCTTTAGCTCTGAATAGAAGGCTGTATGAAAACTGGGCTGTGAGGGATTCATAAAAAAGCTCTATGGTGAAATTGATTTCTTTCATAAAAGGGAAGTTTTAGTTCTCTGCAAAGGTGGTTTGCAAAAAAAAAAAAAAAAAAAGGCAGTAGTCTACATTTCTTCCCATTAATGGTCTTGCTGCATATTATATAAATACTATAGAAAGACTGAGGAATGTGTTAGCCGTTTGTGGGAATCTAGGGGCAACCATATTGAACACTTGCTTTTTGATTGTTAGAAAATGCAGCCGTTCCTCCAGCCAAGCTAATAATCAAATATTATTACAATTGTGAGAATTATTGTACAATCATAGTGATAATCTCTGGTGACCTTGGATCTGTTGCGTTTGTACCGGCCTGGCAGGCTTCACATCTCCGTCAGCCAGGAGAGAAGAAGGACCGCACAAAGAAGATAAGTCACTCTCGTCCTCTGCTGAGGGGCACTCCTCACTGGACCGGGACAGAAGTGTCCTCAGCAACACTTTGGCCTGCGAGCAGCACAAATTAAAACCACACTCTTAATTGTTCTCATTTTGTGAAGGAAGTGTCAAATTGAACTCTCGCCGATTAGGCAAGTCATTTACTTTGGCCACGGCTGCTCGCACAGAGGTGCAGCTGTAATGCGTGTTCAAACGCCAAGCGAAAATAACTTCAAATTCTCTCACTCGTTTAACTAAAAAAAGATTATTTCGCACACTTTCGCTCCCGCTCTCCCTCTCAATCACACTTTTTTTTTTTCTCCCCCTCTCCCTCTCTTCTCATCCATGAGATTAGAGAACTGCCTAAAGAATGCAATCACCCTGGCGTTAATGTGCAACACGTTTCAGATATCTTCCCTCTTGGCTGAGAGGATTGAGACAAACTACTCTCTTCCTCCCTCTCCAGCTCATTTTTATCTCTGTGGAGATGAGGATACACAATTAAGAGGAGCTGTTCCGGGAGATGAGGAGCAGGGAGATGCCACACACCGATTTCCTTTCTCTCCTTTTTCCCTCCCCCATATCAAATCCTGCCATCATCATCTCTCTTTTGTGATCAAAGACTGCCTCTCAGCCTCAGATGGCCATTTGCAACTTTTAATGAGCGCTAATATGGAGGGGATGATCAGGAGGATTTTGACAGTGACAAACTTTAAGTACACTGTAAGTTGTTATCAGTAGGTCACAGGGAAGATTGACAATGTACATGCTTTCATTTTCTGAGAGGGGAAGAGACGAAAACACATGCCAATCTGAGTTTGCCACTTGGTATTTGATGCTGCTGCACAATAAAAACTGTCTTGATCCTTGTCCCCGATATCCCCCTTTGTTCCTTTTTTTAGATTTAGTCAAATGTACCGTGGGTTGAGGGCTCTCGCAGACCCACTGCATTTTAAATATCAATGAATGCAACTGTTAGCACTTGAATATTCAAAGGGCCTCTTTGAGTGTGTGCATGCGAGCTGCATGCTCCCATTTGTCGGAGTAGCCAGGCTGTGTGGCAAGACGTGAATGGAAATTTCTGTTTGCTCTTGTGTGTGGAGAGTAAGCTGTTGTATGAGAGGACAGAGAGGAGAGAGAGAGAGACACACATAAAGGGAGAGATAGAGAAATAGAGGAAGGGAGAGAGAAATAGATGGAGTGAGAGTGAGAGAGATAAAGAGAGAGAAAGATTTTCACTCAGGCTTTTCCTGATGCACTTGGATACAATGATGTAGATGGCAGTACCCCTCTTCCCTTTGTCAGTTCATATTTTCAAGAGGCTCTACAGTCTCCCTCTTTGCCTCTCTCATTGCGTCGGGGACACTGCAGCAAGATCTCCAAGCCACAAGAACCCCCATAAGATGAGTCCGCAAAAATTAATAACACAAAAACCTGCATGTGTGGATGATCATTCCTGCAGATAAAATGGCCCATAGTGGGACTGCTGACATATCTCTTGACATCATCTGTGGACTCTGAGTGGGAATATTCTTTGTAATTTCTTTCTATGTTTAATTGAGCATGAGCTGCACAATGTCAATGAGTGGGAAATTTAAAATAATCCCATTGAGGAGAAGGTCCAAATGGCTCCCTCATTCAATCGGTCCCAGCTGATGGCGATACTTTTGGCTAATACTAAATTAAAAGCAAGTGTTTCTCTGATGAATACGCCACATGAGATGAAAGAAGCCAAGCTGAGGCTGTAATTTGCGATTACTGCATGGGTCAGGGTTTCCCTTCTGTCTAGGTCAACGTGTGGAGCAATCTGATGAGCAGGAAGCCAGGGCTTGGTTTCAAGCACAAGACACAAAGAGGGCATTCAGTACCAACTCCACCTCTCTTTAAAAAAAAAACATGCAAAGAAACAAGTAAAGAAACAAGAGCAATAGCCTATTTGGAGAGAAGACAAAACGAAGCCGTATCTCTCTTTCCGCTGTCGGGGTGTGTTAATATCTGCTTGCGTTTGGGGCTGGGTGATGCAAGTGTGTGACCTTCTGTTTGTGTTTGTGTGTGTGTGTGTGTGTGTGTGTGTGTGTGTCGTGGCAGTGCATGTGCCTTCGACGCTACCTGGTGGCTGTAGGTGGCATGACGCTTCAGTAGCAGCGGCGTGAACAGTTGGACCAAGCGCTCAGTGCTGAGGACACGTCGCTCCTTGAGCACAAGGGCGTGCTTGAACCAGCGATCCCACAGCCGAGCGGCATTAGGAGGGAGGCTGGTGCTGCAGTGAGGGAGGGTGACGGAGGAAAAAAAGAGAGGCTTTCTTATTCAATACACAGTAGGAAATATGAAAATAAGTCATAATTATATCTCCATACAGTGACAGATTATCAAGAAAATGGATGAAGCTGAGGAGTTTGGCTCAAGCAGCCACAAATAATACAGTTATGACACTAGTTTTTTTTTTTTCAAGAAGCATTCTATAAAGTGTGCTCTCTGCGCCATCTTAAACAACTGAGGAGATATGAATGACTAATGAATTTTAGTTAACACTGAATAGACGCAGACAGCAATATAGCTTCAGGCTGAATAATGTAACAAAAATAAAAAGGTCAAGGTCAGCCAATAGGCATCTCTAGAGGGAAGAGAGGGACACTGCTAGATGTGTTTCTTTGAATTGAGTATATAGCAGGAAAGGTCTCAGTGAAATCAATAGAGTAGTGAAGCAGAGCATGGATTTGGCTCAGAGTATAACTACTCATTATCCAAAGGACTGGAAGTCGCAGATAGGGCATTTTAATTTACTCATGACATTCACCCATGCAGTGCTGCCGTACAAGGTGACACCAAAGATGACCTTTTACATTTGTGGACAAGGGAGACTGTATCAAACGGTAGAGTGCAATATCTCAGTGACTGCTGGAAGTGCGTGACCCTTCCCCACGGTCTGGTAAAAAATAAAATAAAATAAAATGCACATGCAGCTGTCCAGACTCTTTCTAAAAAGTGGAATTCACCTTTACTGCAAGTCTGTTCACGCTGATATTTGTGCTCTGAATTACTGAATTGTAAAACCACTAAAGGTTGAAAATGTCACTGTCGACACAAAACACCGGCTATATTACACAACACACCAAAATATATCACCACCAATATTTTATTATATGACTGCATATAATAATTTATATACAGCATTTTTGCAGCATCTCAGGCATTGCAGTGTTACAACAGTAGCACAATGCAAAGGAGGAGTGAGGAGGAAAAACAACGACTCCAAACAATTTCACACACACACACACACAACTAAATCTGATTATGTCATTGTGATGCTTTTTTTTTTTACAATCCCACAATTACATCAAGCTGGGAAAAAAAAAAAAACACCAACACACGACACAGAGAAAAAATGAAAACACTGACACCAGTTTTTCGGCATTGGATTCCCCGAGAAACCAGGAGCCTTACCTTATTTCATTAGGCTCAGTGCTGGACTGATGAGCACTCACTAGATCCTGTGGTAGCAGACAGCCCTTTTCTGTGCTCCATGACAACCTCTGAAGCTCATGAAGGACGACTGCTCCACATGCTTCAAGGTCCTCGTCATTCAAGCCCGCTCCATCGTCACAAAGGCTGCACAATATATAGAGAGCAGTCAGCTATTGCCATGGAGCCCTGGGCTCAGCCTGCAGGTCAGGAGTACAGCCAACAGCTGCTAACACTTCACATATAAACACACATAGTACACCTAGTAAAACCATAGATATCAATGCACACAAGCTCACGCAATATGACAGCAGGACTAAACATTATACTGAGGGTCACGACAAAAAATGGCCACCGTCTTCATTTGTGGAGACGTTATTAGCATTTACAACAGTTGTGTTTGCATGGACGGGGATAAGTAAATATTGGATTTGTAAAAACGGAGAAAGCTTCCCTTTGCTAGACATTTATCCATATTTTACAACAGGAAGTCCAATTATGATAAATTAATCATGCTATGCAACATAAAAAGCTTATGAAAAATAAGCCCAGTTTAATGAAACACATTCTCATCCTCTATCTCCCTGACTCCCAATAACAATTCAACAGGGCGGTTACTATAACAATCCCATGTGTTTGAAAACCCCTCAGAAATAAAGACGCATGCATGGTGGTGATGACACTTCATCTAATGTGAGAGCCCTTGGCAGAAGGATAATATGTTTTCCTCATCTGCACAAACTGCTCCGCGGCCATTAAATAAATATACATGGCATTTGATTTAGACAGGGGTGGGATAAGGTTGTAAAGTTTGAAGAAGGACACAAAGGATATACCTGATAATTCTATTGAGTTCTCTGGCCGCGAATGAAGAACTGCCATACACACTGGTCTGTTGACTGTGGAGTCGTCCTTCGATGTTGTCTAGCAGATTAAAGAGTCCTTCCTGGGAGAGACTGAAAACAACATTACCTTTATTTTTTTTCTAACCTTTTTTGTGGTGAAGGATATAAAAATGAAGGAGGTTACGAGATCGATAGGCCTGTATTTTGTTAAAAAAAAAAAAAAAAAAAAAAAGAATAATAATAATTTTTCAAAAAGGATGCCAAACATCTGTGATACATTTTTCCTGGCAATTTCTTTGAGGTACTCAAGGACTGCTGGAGAATCTGATCATTAAGATGCTACCGTCACAATGCAGGATTTCAACAGTTCTGTGTGTGTCTGTTGATGGTGCCACATGTAATTACAGGTTACAGGAAAGGCTTTTGAAACCTGGTATTCACAACAAGAACTTGTAGAATTAGCTATTTGCTGCTAAAGTGAAACATGACTTCATATATATGCAATTACACCGCCAAGTAATGTTCAATAAAGTCAGTAATATGATATTAAAACTGAGCAGGAATGAAAATACTGACGACTCAGATTGCCAACACATTTAAAAGTGTCAGAAAAAAGGTTTCCAAAAAAAAAAAAAAAAAAGAGAGGGGCTTCTGGATGATTTCTTTTGGTGAGAGATTTACACTTTAATCTGGTCCTGTGTGAGGCTGCAAAATGAGAAATGGATGCCTAATGCATGTGGATATTGAGAATCCATCTCTTTCTTGAGCATTAAGCTCTGGGTGGCCCTCATTGAATTCTCCCAGAAACCCCAAGCCGAGAGATTCTGAGCCCCCTTACATAAAAAGAGGCCAAAAAGAATTTATGACAATCTGTAATGGGCTCTTGGGTTAGGGGTCAGCAAACAATTGCTCCCTCTTTTTTGCAGGTTGTTTCCTGGTAACATCCTGATTAAGCTGGCAGCTTGAATTATATCCATGACATTCTGTAGTGTGCAATCCATCTGTGCCAAGTCCTCTTCAGTGTGGCTGAAGTAGAATAGGCAAAAGCTCTGTCTTTTTTTTTTTTTCCTTTCCCTTATCGCCAGCGTGGGCCTTGAAATAGTTATCTTTCTCTTTCCACTTTATTTATCACTGCTCTTCAAAAAGAGACCTTTAGAGGGGGAGAAAGTGAATTAGTTGTGTTTTCCTGCAAACCTCTCTCTCTATTTGTATTGTTGCCAGCTTTCATGTCAAGGTCTCTAACCTCACTTTGGATGCTGCTGTTGTCCGCATGTCGACATCATCAGGAGCGTATTGTTAACCAGGAGGAAGAGGTCAGCCTCTCTGCAGCAATATTGCTCTACAGCGTACAGTAGTGCCTCCGGGGTGATTTACCACATGGAATGGCCTCACTATTGAGTGATTGGTGTCAGAAGAATCTCACCGTGCTGCCACACACAGCAAATGCAACACACAAAGGAAGTGGAAAATACAACCACAAGTAGTAACAAACTAAGTGCAGCGGTGCCGGACTAAATTTGGGATGTGTCCCACCACACTGTCAGCAGCATTCAGTTCAGAAAGTACTGCTGGACAATGTGCAAGACTTTTACTTGAATTTAAAGCAGAAAAAAAATCGAACTGAGGAATGTTTTCAAAAAAAATGTGATGCCCTATTGACACTGCAACAACATTATTTTTAATGCTACACTGCTCGTGTTCTACCTCTAGACTTTACCTGTGTGCCATGCTGTCACCAATTAAGCAGAACCTTCATTCGGTTAAGAGACAACATATTTGAGAGCAGGACACGGTGGAACCATTATAATACATCTCGAAGAAGAAACCTAGACAATTTTTCAGTCTCACTCACCCAAGCCATGCTGGAGGAGAAATATAATGGGATAATCTAATGAATTGCCCGGGCTTGTTTTTCCTGACTGTGAGCTGAATGGAAGGAGCGATATAAACTCTAACCTTAAGAGAGAGAAAGAGAGAGGGAGAGAGAGGGAGAGAGGGAGAGAGAAAGAGAGGGAGAGGATAGAGACTGGATGCTCTCTGAGCTTTACATCAAAGCCTCTGGTTTTCTCCTCATACACAGAAGCTCTCCGTGTTAACAATGAAAGCTTCAGCCCCCACCATCGTCTCCCCTGCACAGGCTAACTGCAGTTCCTCTTGGGGGTCACAGTATAAACATGATAGTAGACCACACATAAACACAGTCAGACACAAACACACACGCTGCCCTCTCCGGGGGGGAAAATATAATCCTTTACCGAACTTTACCGACAGCTGAACACATTTTTAAATATAATCTTTCATACTAGATGATGCTCATATTTGTAATTACAACGTATTCTGTATTATTTTCAAATAATGTTTTTGTCAATAGCAATTAAAAAATGAAGCATTTAACAGCAAACAAGCACAATGTAACCCATAATGTGACCCAAGGACAGAAAAAAAACTGAATTAGTTTATCATTGAGAAAATTATAAAGAAAAAAAAATGCACACAAAATATATCTTTTTAAAGAGCACAAGAGGTCACGTTCATAAAATACCATACATTGTGGGGAAAATGCAGAGGCTCAGGGCGCAAACATTCACATGGGATTTTCTGTGGCTCTAACCCCATCCAAAATGATCCTTCAACTCAGAGGCCATCATCACGCTAAGGATTTGTGGCTGTAAGTGCTGTCCACATGCCCACCCTCCAGAACACTCTATGGTGCCACAAATTTCCTCCTCCACTGGGGACTTCCTGAGGTCTCTCAAGCAGAAAATTGCTCTGTTACAGCATTATCTTGGATTATGGCAATATTGTTGGTGACAGGTCCTGAGCTCTCCCTATAAGATGCATCACTGCCACCACCGCAGCTGCTGCTGAGCTACAGAGAGCAAGGTGGCATGGACCGTGACTCCCACAATCCTCTCTGTCAGCCTCAGATGTGATGGTGGCAAGTAAGACTGCACGGTGTCTTCACCCACTATCATTAACAGCCCTCTGTGGTTCAGCATGGCCGTGCAGAACATTCTCCTTTCTTTGCTGGCTTAGCTTTAAATCTTTGGGGGGGAAAAATATAGACTGCATTGTGGACATTTTAAGAAGAGTATGCGCCATAAAACAATAAAAATGTTGTGTTTTTCTCCAGTAACCCAATTTGAAAATTCCAAACAACGAAGTACATAAGTCATACGTACTGTACCTTTTCAAGGTCACATTTGGAGCTGAGGATTCGCTGTTTAACTGGGGTGTGTTCTTGGACCCATCGGAGTGGACGGATGATTGAGGACTGTGCTGATTGTGATCATCACTCCCTCCATAAAAGCTGTTCCTCTCAGGTGCCACACCCTCTGGTGGATCCTCCTCCAGCTCAGATTGTGTCAGAGAAATTGTCAGGTCACTCACACTGCTCTCCGACAACTGCACATCAGAACTCGGCGTGCTGATGCTCTCACATTTCCCTGAATGTAAACACACCACGTAACATCGAATAGGCTTGTTTAAAATCTCCAAAAGGGCAAAATAAAGTGCTTTAAAATGTCAATTTCAGTAAAGACGATAAAAAAAAGAAATTACAAGGTAGTAAGCAAGAAATATCACTGCAAACCTGGAGTCTCTTGAGCTTCTTTTCCAAAAGTAGTTTCAGGCATCAAATGGCCAAGACCTCTCTCTTCATCTTCCATTATGTGTGGCTCATGAGCCACCTCTTGGGAGTCAGTGTGTTCTGCGGGGGAATTCTTAGCCCTCATGGGACTACCGCTGCTGGGAGATGGATTCTTCTCAGGGCCCGTCAAGGTCACCAGAGGTGAAGCTTCTTGTTCATCATCACTTCCAAAAGCCACATTGCCAGCTGCGCCTGTTAAGGCACGAACAGATGGGAGCAGCCCCATCGTTCTTTCATGTTTGTCACTCAAATTACAGCCGTCAGGGGAATCGTTTGAGCCTGAAATGTCATCTGATAAATGTGCTCGGTTGCTGGCGGCATGCTCTCCGCCAACTCTGAAGTCCTTCAAAAGGCCACTTGGTAGGCGTTCGCGGGAGTGCATGCTGCGATTGGGTGAACGATGCAATGCTTGGTGTGAGTGTACACTTGTGGTGCCAGCTTCAGCGTCAGACCCTCTGGAGGTCTGGTGGACCATAAAAATTTCCACCGGTGGTTGTGTACAATCTTTAGCGGGATGAGAGAGGTAGCTGTTCTGGTGCCGTCGATGCACAGCTTCAACCTGCACACATGAAAAAAAACACGAGATATATTCATTTTGGCAACTTAACTTCCTATTACTTCATGAAATGAAAATGCCTTTTTCTAGACATGAATATGATTTCTCTACAATTTCAGATTTCTTGGTTAAGTTAAATAAGTGTTATTTTGAAGAAGAAGAAAAAAAACATTGAACTCAAGCATGCTAACTATCCACTTTACAATTTTGAATAAGTGCAGCTTATTTAGGCCAAGGTCAGAATTCTTTTTACAACATTTCTCAGAGGAATGTCTCAGGATCAATGTTTTAACTTTTAATCTTATTAGAAATCCTTTAGACAAGTTTTGATTCATGTCTGCAATGTCACCAAGGGGGGGAGAGAGAGAAGCAAAAAAGCCTCCCTCCAAACATAATAACAAAAAGCATAGCTTCTGTTTCTTTTCTGATAAGCGTCTTAAATACCAAACAGTTAGCTGCTTAATAACATTCACTGTAAACCATGCAGTCTGCCCAGCAGATCCACAAAGTAGGTAAAAAAAGAGGAAAAGTTAATTTCTTGGCTGAGTGATTCCATCGGTAGCTGCAGGGCAAAGTAGAAAGTGTTTCACTAAAGTAGCAATTGATTCTTCTATCAATCTGCGGCACGCGTGTGCTCTTCCAAGGAATGTATTAAATATGAAAATCATATCCCGTTATCATCTGTCTCCAGCTTTCAGCCCGGTAAGCTTCCCTTAATGAATGCTGCAGCCTGAGGGACATGCACACTGCCAGCCAATGGCTTGTATGCATAATGGAGTGACGGTACCATTTTGCTCATTACAATATCGACAGGCTGAGGGGGGTTTTGCACACAGTTACAAGTGACTGCTCTAGACAGCATGCTCCAAGTTATTATGAGATGTCTTAGACATTTCATCTAAAAGAGCTTTAACTGCTTTAAGTGAAGGGAGAAAGCAGCTATGGGCTTGAACTACATCGCTTGTACAGATTCACCAGCTAGGATTAGACACCTGTGCTATTACAGATACACAGTTTAAATGTAGACTCCTCTACAGATTTACCAGGCATAATGTCTACTTCCCTTTGTTATTGTAAACCTGAAAACACAGCTTGATAGAAGTGAAATTTGCATAAACCTTGTAAACATTTCAAAAAAGAAGGATCTAGCATAAAAAAGGAACAAGTGCCATTTTTAACCACACAAACAAATAGTGATAAATAAAATAAAATCAGTGCAGGTCACACAATACGTAGCAGAAGATGTGATGTGTTTAAAATACATGATATTGTTATGGTATCAATTCCCATTATTTCAATTCCAAACAGGAATACTATTTTCATTACCATAGGAGTACGCATTTTATTTTGGACATATTTGCATTACCTCTGCTGCTTCGTGCACCTGCTCCACTTTCTTGCTTGCCTCCATAAATCTGGAAATCTTTTTCAAAAAGTCAGCCTGTTGGAAATGCAAAAGCTGAGTTAATAATTTGAAAAAATGCAACATTCACAATATTTAACTGCCATGTGTCAGGTGAACGTATACTCTGTGCTAACACTAGAAACTGTCTGCTATGCTGCTGTGATAGTGCTGTTGAATTTTATCTGTATGTGATGTAAAAGCAGAAGGTAAGAAACCAATAAGTGGTGATGTCAATCATCCCACAGGATTTTCCCTAGTGACCGTCCTTTGACTAGTCTGACCAGGCAGGCTGACTGCCTTAATCCCAACTCCAACAAATAAAAACCTAATGATCTTTAGGTGTTAAAGCACTTGGATTAGCACAAACATGCCGCCCCTTTTTGTCAAGCAAACTCTGTTTATCCACTTTGAACATAGTGCACAATCAGAGCCAACAACGATTACAACAAACGCTGTATAGAAATGTACGCAACTCAAGGTATAAATACACTTTCCATGTGAAAACTGATGTTTTTCATTGCACCAGTCAAACACAGAAAAACTGGGGTGATTTCACACAATGGAAGCAGAGTGCAACAGGGCAACCAAAATAACAGCAAACATGTAGGACTCATAAAGCATCAAGAGGAAATAAACCAACTGCTTGAGGGGAGAGAATGACTAAACCTCTGGAGCACTTCAGAGTCTCTATATTGGGCAATTAACTCAGTGAGTCATAATTAGCCAATTTTGTTAATTTGATATTAAGCTGTCAAGCACTGTCGTTGAGTTTTAAGTGATAATCTGACTGGCTCATTGTTTTCTCCCTCGTTCATTTGCCTGTCGTGACAAATTGCACAGTTTGAGTGTTTACTATTGTCACATCGAGCCATTGCAAGCAAATGTTTTTACTCAGTGTTGAAATGACAGCATGGCATTAAGGCAAACGTGTATTAACATGCTTCATTAATAAATGCCCAGTCTTTATAAAAAAAATATGTATCTGTATAATACCACTGATTCTTCCTATTCTAAAGTCACAGTACATTTGGTTAACTGTTAAAACGTATCTAAATATACAAAACAATAATTAATGGTTTTTAAATCAGAATCGGAATTTTTTAGTAAAATGTACAACTGTCTAAACTTGGGTTAACCTCAGTAGGCGGCGTGTTTGTTAATATTAAAAGCCTCCATATTAAAAGAAACTACTCCACTGAACAAATAAAACCGTGTGAGTGAGTGTGCATGTGTGTGTGTGTGCGTGTGTGTGTGTGTGTTTTACCTTTTGTTGTTGCAAGGGGCCATGGTCAGGACTATATTCCTTCATGCTAATTTCTATGCACTCCACATCTCTCAGAAGCTCAAGGTTTCTCATTTTCGCTCGTGCTTCCCTGTCACAGATTTCCTTGAGATAGCTGTGCAGTTTGGAACACTTTATCTGTGAGCTGAAGGCAGTGGAGAACTATTATTCAAGAGAAATATTATCTAAGAGCATTGTCAAAAAATAAGAGCCAGACTTCTCACAAGAAAAGGTTAAGCACAATATATTTTAAATTTAAATCTCATTCTCAGCTCTGCTATCAACCTAAGCTTTGCTGTTTTGACCTGGCATGTTAATATCGATGAGAATCAGTTTACAGTGGAATTGAAAACAGCCTGTTCTGCTTGGATCCAAGGAGGCAGCTTACTGTACATGCAACACAACTGAGTTTTTTATTGAAGAAAATATTTTAGCTTTACACAAATGCTGGATTTTTTATTTTTTTTTTACCCTCCAAATGAAAACATGAGTTTGGATCTGCATGCTGATTGGATATATTTGCCAAACTAATTTCATATTAAATGCTGCTGTATATACTGTGATGGCACCTCATTTAAATATAATCATATATAATGATATATTTAACCCACAGCTTAATATACATTTCAGGAGGAACACTGCAAAATCTTACAGGTAATACAGTACAGCACTTACATTCTTCTGTCAGATCTGGAGTAAGCAAACAGTTCTCTCTCCAGCTCCAGCCTCCGTTTCTCCCTGCACACACACACACACACACACACACACACACACACACGCACACACAAATGCATAAATACCATATACACATAATTAAAACCGGTCACCCACACAGACCCCTGTAGCATCCCCAGGAGCTTCTAAGCTAATGATTAGCCAATTATTAGCCCTATTAGCAGTACTCGTCTATTTACTCAGTGCTAACGCAGAATACTATTAACGAATTAGCGACACACAAAAGGCACTAACTTCACCGGAACTTTGGCTAACATTAATATGCAAACGCTAACGACTGTGTCATTAGTTATTAGCTTCCCGTTCGTCTAAAAGCTAAAGTATAGCTGTTGTTAGCTTAAGGTAGCGGTAGATAGGCTAACCAACTAGCCTGCTAAAAGGCATCTCTGTCTATAAGGAATTAGCTAGCTAATTAGCCTGTTACTTCACTGCGGTAAGCGGAAGGAGGAAGCTCCCAGCCAGCATAGCGCACTACTCGAGCCCGGGGTCTCCTCCAGGCCTTCGTTTCTGTTTACAAAAACAAAAAAAGCGAGAGAAGCCTCACCTCTTATACATGCTTTGCTGAATCGCCGTTATCTTTTCGTAATATTGGTCCACGCTGCGAGCCAAGTCTGCCATTTTCGGCCGCTTTAGTGCCGCAGCAGAGCCGAGACGAAGAGGAGGAGGAGGCGGAGAAGGAGGAGAGGGAGGAGGGCGGCCGGTGTTTACGTTGGTTACCATGAGCACCGCTTCCCAGAAATCCCTGCTGATAAACACAGAGAACACGTGGTGCGACCACCGTCTACCATAGATGCTGCTCTGTTTAAGGTAACTACATGATATAATTGTGCAGTTTGCAACAACAAAGTCTGTGTCAGGTAAGAAAAACTGGAGTATTTCCTCCAACAAACTCTTGAATGTTTACTTAAACAGAGAGCCCCCTTCTGTGGAAAGATGCACATAAAGGTGCTTAAATGTCAGTCTTGTTTATCAGCCTTCTGTAACCTGACTGGGCTAAATACCAGCCATCAAACGTCTGACTTTGTCATTTGCTTGATAAGCCTCCACCTCTCCGTCAGATGCAGTTTGATGTCTCATGTGCTTGCTTGTATCATCCCCAGATCTTGTCTTTGCATTATCAAAGTTCATCACTGACAGTTCTCATAATGTCATGTTTTGACTGTAGCAGCATGTCATTTTCTCAAAGCGACAACACGACATGTCCTTGCTGGGATTCTGAAATTGACAGCCCCCCTCCAAAATGCACACCCTAATCAAGCAATTTCCCCCAATTCCAGGCCCATCAAATTGCTCTTTAGCTGTTGAACTGGGGAGTTTTGTTGTCCTTTTCTAATGCTAATCTACCCCATTCAGCATCTCTCTATGAGGCTATTTGTTGTGAAATAAATCCCCTTGTTTGCCTCCTGCATGTATAATTGATATTGTTGCCAGGCTTTTTGTTTGTGCCGTGGAGAGCTGAAAGGCGGTACTTTGGAGGTGATGAAGAAAATGAGACTTGCAGCGTTGCCGTTCCAGCTGAGCTCAGCCGAGGTCGATGCTTGTGATCAACCTTTGTTGGATATCATACCGTGCGTTCGCGATTGTTTCGAGCAGATTATGGTACACAATATAGACGGCGTTCCCCTCACACGTATGTTGCTCCACCCTGCTTCGTGTGTCATCCAGATGTAATGGCACCAAGGTGTCAAGCCACTACACAACTTTTAGCTTATTGCATGCTGGGGAGTATAGCCACTTTTAAATAGACAAATGCATAGAAAAACAACAGCGCTCACACATTTCCTTCCTCTGACACGCTGCATTGTCATCGACATATCTTTTAAACAGCATTAATTTCCAGTGAATTATCTCCCTCCTAGTTAGAAAAACTTATACAACCTAAATGTTCCAAAAAATAAAAGCAGTTCTGATGATATAGGAGGTATAGTCTTCACAAGTGCTTATCGGTAGAAACAAAAAAGTGCCATGCATACATTTTTCAAATCTGACTACATTAATGGCTGCACTGAAAATCATATTTATTTTTGGCTATTTGTAGTTTTATACATGCACTGTTTGTCAGCGCCGCTCCTCTGAAGACATACAATGTGTATGGCCATTGATATGCCCTAACAGAGGTCACAATTTGCATGAGAATTAACAGCTAGTAAATTAAATTGATATTCAGTGCACATCTCCGTTGAATCCTTCAGACCTTTGTTCCCCTGCCTGGCAGAGCCCATGTTCAGCCCCTAGCTAGTCAGAAACATCTGTGCAGTTAATAATTTGATAAACAGCTTACACAAATGCTAAATTATCTTCTCCATCCCCTCCCCTTTTCTTCCTCCCCTTGTGCGAGACTTGGAACAGTTGGCTCACCTCTCTGTGGTGTTGGGTTTTATCAGTCTTTTGTGGCTGTTCTTCCACAGCTCTGGTTTTCATGGTTCTCCCTTCCCTCCTTTCACTATCACTTAGATACTGAAGCAGTGTTTGGGGGGTTAATGCAAATCCTCAATTCTCATCTGTGAAGAAAAAAAAAAAAAAAAGGCGTGGGAGTTGCCTATTGTGGCAAGTTTTAAAATGAACTTCGTCTGAACGTTTGTTATTCATTCACTGTTCTGTCCGGGGTAGCATTTGGAAAAATGTTGAAGAAGAACTGTGACATTTATCAACACATTTTAACATTTGCAGTGCCATTGTGCTTCCATTCAGTTAAAGCCTATTGTTTGCCCAGAACTCAGGTGACTCCCTGTGAAATTGCAAATTAAGGTCTGACATATTTTTTTCCGGAGAGCATTCTACATTAGAGTGCAAAAGCTTTCAAGTTCCATGTGTTAATTCAATGGTCACTTGTTTCTATAATTGGCTGATACCACTAGCGAAAGAGATTTGACCGGGCTTTTATAATCGTTTCAAAAAGTAGGCACTTGTAGTTGGCACAGGTATAGTTTGATTTTCACAAAGTTATATTAAAAAGATTAAATGTGTTCAGACAATGATATTAGTAGTATCTGTTCAAAACCAGGTCTGATTCAATTTTAAAAAGGATTGAAAATATCAGTCAAGTCTTTATGTGTTTGTGTGTGTGTGTGTGCGCACGCGTGTGTGTGCCGACATACGGTTTATTTGTGTGTCCAAATTTTTGTGAGTGCGTTTTTGTCTATGAGAGGACAGCAATTAGTTAAGTGCTATCAAGGGGATGAAAAGCTGCAACAAATCCCCTTTATAATTTCATGGAAAAGAAAGCTGACAAAATAGAATGGGATGGAGGGGAACTAGTTTTTCCAATGCTTGCCTTTTCAGTTGCGACTTAAGAAGAAATTGGACACCAAGAGGTTGTGTTAAGCTGTGTTGTGTCATTTTTTATGTTTTTCTTTCCGATGCATAGTTTCTTTTCTTTTTTTTTTAAACTTCTCTTCTGCAGATATTGTCTCTTCTGTTGCTAACTTTGAATGAGGAGATCAGATTCACGGCGGTGCTGCACTTATTATTTGAATAAACATCAGGGCAGTCTCGAGTGCTGTCTGAGAGCACAATGCTTCAGTGTGGTTTTGAACAAAGACTCCCAGGTCTAATGACAGTGGCTTGTTGTTAGCACATGCTCGCCTTGTGATGTCGCAGTTTGCAGAGTGGATTCATTCTCCATGCTGTTTACATTTTTTTTATTCTTCTTTTTCCTTTTTGGACGTCTGCCACCGGTGTCATCCAGACTCTTGCCAATCATTTTCACCTGCTCGCGGTCCATGGGCAGATCCTGTCAGAGAGACAGGAAGGAGAGGATCATCTCTCAGCCTGACAAGAGTCTTTGAGCCTGGAGTTTGACTGACGGCTGATAGGAGGGGCGGCGTGGCGCGCGGCAGCAAATAAGGGCGGCGTGTGTGTGTGTGTGGTTGTCAGGTGGTGAGGGTTCACGTGGGCTGGGCTGGGTCGACGTTTGCTCCGGTGCTGGACCTGGTTGGTAACACTGATCGCTGGCCTTGTTAAGACAGTGGCCTCTTCACCTCCATGTTTAACAGCTCAGACTCAGTGGTGGAGAACCAGCTGTTGTGCAGCGGTTGACTCTTACTGAAATGAACCCATTACTGATGCTGAACTAGACAATGGATTGTGTTCTTTGTTCACAGCATCTCTGTGTCTTAACATTTACCCCGATCTGGAATCCATTGCAGTTAGCTTTTGTTTGTTTTTTACACCTAGAGCTGCATGATATTGTGAAAAAAGTAAGATTCAGTTAATTTGTTTTTCTGTGATTGATACTGTAATGTGATAATATAGGAGGATTTTTTTATTTTTTTACCAGATGACTTAAAAAAAAGACTATTTGGATAGAATTATCAATCTAGAATGACTGGGGTGATTTGTAGAGGAGTGCATCTGCATAGAAATAAATGAAAAAGATTGGGGAAAAAAAGCAGTTTGGAACCTTTCTCATATGATGTAACACTGGCAAAGGCATCCAAAATATTTTTTATTTTTTCGCTTTGGATGGCGTTCAGATTTGGCTTTGCGCTCATACAGAGCTTTGTGGTGCTGGTTTAAATGGCCAAACAAATTAGCTGTGTTGCAAGACACTGCGGACAGAGTGCCTGTGTTTGGTCGGCATCATCCGTTCTGTCGCAGAAATATTTCCATACAACTGAAGTTGTGATTGTTTTTGCAACCAAATCTTCCTTTTTCTCCTGTTTCTTGCTCATTTTGCTGTGGAAATGTGGAGCCTGCATGTCAACAAACTCTGTGTGTCTTATGAATAGAACCTTTAAATCTGACAGACTTTCTCTTGTGGATTAGTCCTGGAAAAGTTTCATTTTGTATTAAGCAACATGTAACATGACATGCTTGAGGTGGTTATTGTTCATGCAAATGTTGCTATCAGAATACTTAATATAAATTGTGTAGAATTAGTTACACAAATAAAATTCAACATTTAGTTTACAGTAAATCAAAAATAACCGTGGACGTAATGCAGTACCTTGGGTTTGATATGTCAACATCTGTAACTTTCCATCCAAAGACAGACCTTAGAATAGACACCTTATTTAATGAACACCTCTTCCTACACCTAAAGAGCCAATCCAGCCCTGGATGGCCCATTTGACCCAATCCTCCAGGAGAGGCCCGCGGGGCACATGTCACATCCACATTACGGAGTTAGGGAATGCTTTATTTGTTTGCGTGAGGGGCATCCTCGCCTGTCTGTTCCGTAGGTCACACTCAGTTGACACCGCTATTGGAAGTCATTGCCCTTATGTGGCTTTAGTCTTCCAGGTCAAATTATCCTTCAATTTAAACTGAAATTGGGAATGGCAGAGGCAAGGATCAGCCCGGGCCCAGGCCCTCTCCTCAGTATTAAGCCATCACAGTGTTGTAAGGTGAGCTCCTGTAATGAACCCTGTCACCGCTACCACTGCACCAATATCCCCACAACACAGCATGCATATTGATTGCAGATTGTGAGTGCGAGAACATGTGTGCGTGGCTGTGCGCATGTAATGTATGTGTGCATGCTCACGCAAGCTCACCTTTTTCTAGCAAGAAGCAAGGGAATCGTCTTACTCTCTGACTGATTAGAAAGCTCATGCATAGGAAATCACGACAGAGACGCTGCTCCCCATCTGCCCGCAGTGCAGGTGAAAACAATTTACACATCGCCAGGCTAATGGATACATTCATAGGGAGCAGAGACAGAGGGAAAGAGGGATT